GCATGCAAAAAAAAATGGACTTAGATCTCGAACTAACACCATGCACAAAAGTTAGATCAAAATGGATTAAAGATCTTAACATCAGGCCAAAATTCATAAGGTATGTTGAAGACAGGTTCGGCAAAACCCTCTATGATACTGAGGATAACGGTATCTTCAAAGACAAAACTCCACTTACCAACCAAGTGGAAACAGAGATAATCAAATGGGACTATCTTAAATTAAGAAGCTTCTGCAAATCAAAAGATACAGTGACCAGAATACAAAGACAATGTACAGAATGGGAAAGGATATTTACCCAATACCCATCTGATAAGGGATTGATATCAAGGATATACAAAGCATCGATTGAACTCTACAAGAAGAAAACATCTAACCCCATCAAAAACATGGGATGATGGAATAAACAGTAAATTTTCCAAAGAATGAGACCAGTTGTAGTTACTGTAGGATCCTCCGTGAGCTCTATTGCGGATTCACTACCAGGATCTCACCATTCTACAAAGAAGTGATCGTTGATGTCAAGAGAGGGCTGCGGCAGGGTGATACCATTTCACCGAAACTCTTCAGTGCCACCCTCGAGAACATAATGCGACGACTGGAATGGGAAGGAATGGGAGTGAAGATAGATGGTCGGCAACTACACCACCTCCGCTTTGCTGATGACATTGTTTTAATAACACCAAACATCAGCCAAGCGGCACAAATGCTGGCCGACTTTGACCGTGAGTGTGGAAAGGTAGGACTACAGCTGAATCTTACGAAGACAATGTTTATGAGAAACAGCCTTGTTCCTGACGCCCCATTCGCTCTCAATGGAACGACCATCTCCGAATGCAAAAGCTATGTGTACCTAGGTCGAGAGGTCAACATGACAAATGACCTGGCACCCGAGCTGCGCAGGAGGAAGAGAGCGGCTTGGAACACCTTCAAGAACGTCGAAGAAATAGCTAAGAGGACGAAGAACCTCCGGCTCCGGGCACATCTCTTTGATTCCACTGTTCTTCCTGCATTAACATATGCCTCAGAGACCTGGGCCCTACGCAAACAAGATGAGAACACCATTCAGGTCTCCCAAAGAAGAATAGAAAGAGCTATGCTTGGAATATCACGTTTCACTCAAATGAGAGAACGAATCCGGAGTTCTGACATCCGTCGACGATCAAGGATCAGGGACGCTGTCTCATATGCCAAGGTGTAGAAAATCAGATGGGCTGGTCACGTAATGAGATTTAAAGACGACCGTTGGACTAGAGCTGTTACTGATTGGATTCCACGGGATGTCAAGAGACCGCGTGGCCGCCCACCTACCAGATGGTCAGACTTCTTTGTCAAGATCATGAACGATCGGTTTGAGGCCCTCCATGTTCCCGGAGCGAAGAGATGCCATTGGGCTACACTAGCACGCGACAGGGACAAATGGAGACGTTACTGGCGCCCGCTCGAGCAAATCGACGACTAACGGGAAGTTAAGTGATTAAGTGAAGTGATTTCCAAAGAAGAAATCTGAATGGCCAAAAACACTTGAGAAAATGCTCTACATCACTAAACATTAGGTAGATGCATATCAAAACAACAATGAGATATCATGTCACACCACTGAGACTGGCGCATATCCAAAAGAACAAAAGCAACCAGTTTTGGCAGGGATGTAGAGATAAAGGGACCCTCCTTGACTGCTGGTGGTAATGTCGACTGGTTCAGTCCTTTTGGAAAATAGTATGGACGATTCTCAAGTAATTAGAAATTGAGCTCCTATTTGAACCAGCAATAACACTGATGGGAATATATCCCAAAGAGGCAAAAAAGTGCACTCGAAATGACATTTGCACTTCTATGTTCATTGCCGCACTATTCACAATAGCCAAAATTTGGAAAAAACCCGAGTGCCCGCTAACAGATGACTGGTTAAAGAAACTTTGGTACATCTACACAAAGGAGTACTATGCAGCTGTTAGAAAAAGATGAGGTCATGACATTTACATACAAGTGGTACTACGGTCATGGTCATGGCCCTCCCGTTGTTCATCGATTTGCTCGAGCGGGCCCAGTAACGTCTCCATTGTGACACTTGTTACTGTGTTTTGGCATATCAAATACGTCACGGGGAGCTTGCCAGGCTTTGCCGTGCAGGCAAGATACTCTCGGTAGCTTGCGGGGCTCTCCGAGAGGGGCGGAGGAATCGAACTCGGGTTGGCCATATTGGCTGCGTGCAAGGCAAACGCTCCACCCGCTGTGCTATCACTCCAGCCCAGTGGTACTACATGGAAAGTATTATGCTAAGTAAAATGAGTCAGAAAGAGAGGGACAGGCATAGAAAGACTGCACTCATCTGGGGAATATAAAGTAACAGAATGGGAGACGAACACCCAAGAATAGCCGAGAGAAGTACCAGGAGGTTCACTCCATGGCTTGGAGGCCAGCCACACATGATGAAAGAGAAGGAAGCTCATATAGAGAGGGGAGCACTAAGTAAAGGTTGTTGAGAGTACACTCCCAGGATGAGAGATGTATGCTGAAAATAGACTATAGATTGAACATGATAGCCACTCAATGGCTCTTTTGCAAACCACATCACCCAAAAGGAGAGAGAGAACTAAAGGGAATGCCCTGCCACAGGGGTGGGGTGGGATTGGGGGTGGAGGTGTGGGAAGGATTCTGGGAGCATTAGAGGTGGGGAATGGGCACTGGTGGAGGTATGGGTCCTCAATCATTATATAACGAAACCCAAGCACAAAAATTTGTAAGTTTACAACTGTACCTCATTATGTTTCACACTATTGAGCACTATGTAGTTGTTAGAAAAGATGAAGTCCTGAAATTTACATACAAATGGTAAAAAGTAAAGTAAAGTAAAGGCCCTCCCGTTGATCATCAATTTGCTCGAGCGGGCCCAGTAATGTCTCCATTGGAGACTTTGTTGTTACTGTGTCAGGCATATCAAATACTCTCGGTAGCTTGCCGGGCTCTCCAAGAGGGGCGGAGGAATCGAACTCGGGTCGGCCATGTTGGCTGCTTGTAAGGCGAACGCCCTACCTGCTGTGCTATTGATACAAGTGGTACAACATGGAAAGTATCATTCTAAGCGAAATGAGTCAGGAAGAGAGGGATAGACATAGAAAGATTGCATTCATCTGGGGAATATAAAGTAACAAAATAGCAGACTAACACCAAAGAATAGCCGAGATAATTACCAGGAGTTTCATTCCATGTCTTGGAGGCCAGCCACACATGCTAGGGGAAAAGGCAGCTCAGATAGTGTGGGAGCACCAAGTAAAGGTTTTAGAAGGATCCTCCCAGGATGAGAGATGCTTGTTGAAAGTAGATTATAGACTTAACATGATTGCCACTCAATGCCTCATTTGAAAACCACAGCACCCAAAAGGAGAGAGAGAACAAAAGGGAATGCCCTGTCACAGGGGTGTGGTGGGATGTGAAGGTTGGAGGGGGGTGGGATATTGGGAGCATCGGAGGTGGAGAATGGGCACTGGTGGAGGGATGGGTACTCAATCATTGTATAACTGAAACCCTAGCACAAAAATTTGTAAGTCTACAACTGTACCTCATGGTGTTTCACTAATAAAAATTAAATAAAGATAGAATGAAAGAAAGAAAAAAAGAAATATATATATATATATATATATATATATATATATATAATGACACAGAGGGCTGAAGTGACAGCACAGTGGTAGGGCATTTGCCTTGCATGCAGCCAACATGGCCGACCCGAGTTCGATTCCTCCACCCCTCTCGGAGAGCCTGGCAAGCTACCAAGAGTATCTCGCCTGCACGGCAGAGCCTGGCAAGCTACCCGTGATGTATTCAATATGCCAAACACAGTAACAACAAAGTCTCCAACGGAGACGTTACTGGGACTGCTTGAGCAAATCGATGAATAACGGGAGGACAGTGACAGTGACAGTGACTATGACACAGAAATATGCATTTTGTTTGCAGTAATGCATTTTAAGTTTTTATAGTCATTATTATCTTCCATTGCTAACAAAATTAGACTGTAAGAATTAATGATTTTACTAGCAAGTCTTTTATAATATCATTTTATGCACACCCAATGGAAAAGTGTATGATTTTTAAAAAGTAGAGACATTTTTCTATAAAATTCTACTATTTTTATTTAGGTGACACATCCAGCTGTGCATGGTCCTCTGTGCTCAGATATAGAGACTAGTGGAGCTTGGGATACCATATGGTGCCAGGGATCAAACCTGGGCTGGGTGCATGCAAGGCAAGTACCTAGCCCACAGTGTTATATTTAGGACCCAGATTCTATTATTTTAATGCTTTCTTCACTAAAATCTTCAGAATAAAATAGTACTGTTGGGGCCAGAGTGATAATATAGTTGATAGGGCATTTGCCTTGTATGTGGCCAACCTTGGTTAGACCCCCGGCATCCCATATGGTCCCTGAAGCACTGCCAAGAGTAATACTTGAGTGCAGAGCCAGAAGCAACCCCTGAGCATCGCTGGTTGTGACCCCAAAAGCAAAATAAATAAATGAATAATATGTTTACTTGTAAAAAATAAAAGTAATAAAAAGTACTCTAACATATATTTTCTTTGACTGAAATATTTTTATTTTTTCATGTATACTAGAGGAATACCCATTTTGTTCCCAGAGTCGTTTCTGATGCTGCTTGGGGGACCATGAATGCTGGGGTTAAAAAAAGTTGACTTCATGTAATAAACCTTAATTTCCTTTCTCATGTTTTTGTTTTGGGGCCACACCCAGCATTGTTCTGGTATTACTCCTGGCTCTACTCACAGTGATCAGTCTTATAGAGATTCAGGTGGACATATAAGGTGCCAGTGATTGAACCCATGTTGGCTGTTTTGAAGACATGCCTAAACGACTGTTACTGTTACTCTACCACCTCTATCTTTATTTTATATTAATGTTATTCAAGCTCCTTTTATCATGGTCATATTAACGTCATCCACCCAGACAAAATTCATCAGTTATGAAAAGGAAAGCATACCTGAGGTAGAATTTTAAGGAGCTGGTGATTGTCTTAAGGTCCCAGTCACTGTTGTGAAAATCAATATCTCCTGGACATTTAGGATCTAGAGAAGAAAGAAATGAATTAAAAGATTTCCCCTTTTACCACTTTCAATGTAAAATAAACTACATTAATTTAAAGAATTAATTCAGTCAGTTTTTTTTTTATTTTTTCAGTCTGTGTCCTACAACCAGTTGTGTCCAGTACTTACTCATGGCTATGGGGTTCAGAAAATCATATGGGGTAACAAGGATCAAAATCAGTCTTATGCAATGTGCCCTTGCCTGCTAGACTATCTCTGAAAAACACATCAGGTTGACACCAGGGCTGATATCAATCAAATTGATATCAGGTTGATATCCAGGATATACTTAAAATACTCCAAAGATCAAGAAAAAAATTCAGAAACCCCATAAAAATTAGAATAGGAAATGAACAGAAATTTCTCTGAGAAAAACCAACAAATGGTTAACAGGCTCAAGTGAAAATTCTCACCATCTCATATTGTTAGGAAAATCCAAATCAAGACAATGATATATACTCTCACACCTGTGAGAATGGCACAAATCAAAAACAATGGGAATATCCCTATTCTGTCCTAACTTGCACTTTTCACCCCTCCCCCTGCCTTATGGCAAGCTTCCAACCATGGAACAGTCTTCCTAACCCTCATTTCTATTGTCTTTGTGTGATATTCTTATGCTGCTTTTTTTTCAATCTTCAGTCCTTTCCTTGAAGAAATGACTGATCTATTCTTCATTTTTTGTTACTCCTCAGCACTATCAGCATGATAATCCTGTTGTTCGTCGATTGCCTCGAGCAGGCACCAGTAAAAACGTCTCCTTCATCCTAGCCCTGATATTTTAAAAAGTGCCATATTCAAGGTTCTTTCAGAGTTAGGAGAATGACACCCATCATTGCTATTGGTATTTGGCATATTGGGTACATCACGGGGAGTTTGCCAGACTCTGCCGTGTGGGCAGGTTACATTCGGTAGCCTGCCAGGTTGTCCAAAGTAAGAATGAGATAATAAGATGTTGCGCGGCCATAAGTGCGGCCACGCGCTTTCAGGAGCCGTGTTTTATAGTCTCTGGGTCTTGGCCGTTGATGGGATTACATGGCGCTGCCTGGAGCTGTTGCTGGGTGTGATCCCTGCCTTCTGAAATATGGAGGATCTGGGTGGAGGATGCTCAGCCCTGATCCGAGCAGGCTTGGAGATCTCAGCCCCCGAATCCGCATGCCTTTGTTTCTTTTTAAAACACAAATAACTCCTAATAAGAATTATGAAATTAAAATTGTTACCAAAAAAGGCATTCAGCAGCTTCTGAACCTGAATATTGCTGCCCACAGTTCGGTACAATCCCTCTGTCTTTATTCCTAGAGAAAAAAATAAGCAAGTAAGTTTATTTAGATAACTAAATGTTTTATCTCTTTCAGAGTAGAACAGGTAGAAACCTAAATAACCATAAAGGTAGGATAACTCCAGGTCAGTCAAATGAAAGTTCTCTTTTCTCTCTCCAAGATATCTAAACCTCTCATGTAACAGGGAATACTGAAGCATCTCTCTAATTTAGCCATGCTTTTGGTCATCCACATGAATATGAATAGATAGGAATGCATTATATATTAACAGAAAAATACATGCTTAGGTATGTAGCAGTAAATCTCTGAGAACTGTGCTGTCATCTTGGAAAGGAACTAGGGATTCATTGAAAAAGAAGGAAATATCAACCTTCATGTTGTCCCTAAGCAATGATATAAATGAAAGAGAATATATTAAGCAAAGAGCTTTGTGTGCATAGAGGAATATTGAAATGTTTCACTGGTAAAATAGAAGTCTGATTCATATACAAGACTCTTCCACATTTCAAATAATATCTGACAAAAAATCCAGACTCTTAGACAATGTAAACTCACTGACTGTATATTTCTCTAAGGCTAACTTTGTAGTTCCCCACCTCCAAATTATGAAATCAGTTATATAATGTGACAGAAACTGAACTATTGTTTCTTTAGGATTGAAATTTCCTATACAGTTGGTCAATGACAGGTAGTATTTAAGAATACTTTATAAGCTGTATGAAATTGTTTTTTTCTTAAAAGAAATTATCCAAATTGTTCTTGGAAACCACTGCTTTGAAATGTATTACAATTTTACAAATTTCACCTGTCACTGTTTCCAAACAATCTTCAATCATAAAATGTGTACCAACAGATGGCAACAATATTACCTTAAATAAATTCCCATGACAAATTTTAGAGTGACCAGATTCAACGACTACTGGGACTATGGTTCATATCTTACCTTTAGTCTCAATGACATTGATGCATTTCCTAACAAACTTGAATCCCACTTCGTTCAGCTCCACTGATTCAAGCAAAGGAAAGTATAGTTAGACTTTACTGAAACAAATTTCCCCTTTAAAAGATTGACTGATCATGCGAATGGATGGCAGGGAAAAAATGGGGGATAAGGGTCACATAAAAATATCACTATTAAGTGGAAATGTGAATGGATGGCAGGGAAAAATGAGGGATTAGGGCCACATAAAAATATCACCATTAAGGATGTTTTTATTCAGGGTAGACTGAGAGTGTTTTGTCTGAAAATACACAATTCTTTTAGTTAACTCTGATGAAAGAGTTAATGAGCAACACCAAATATAAAGTGTTAGAAGTGGAAAACCAAATAAATTCTATAGTTTACTACTGACACCCCTGCCATAAACTAAAATAAAGTGATTTATTAGTCCGATAAACAGATATTATTAAATTTAATTGATGTAATTCCACAAATAATTATTTATAAACACACTTTTAACAAGATAATAAATCATTAATGATACAATTATGATTTTGATCAGGACTGTACATAGCTTATAATGTCAACAGATCAGGAATTTGACTTACTCTCTTCTTGTTTAGTTATGGGGCTGTGGTAGATCTATAAAAGAAACAAAAGAGCCATGATTATTGTGGATTTTGTGAATGACAATAGGTAGGGAAAATAATATGAAATACTACACCACTACACCCCCATTGATAAGTCAGCAAAACCACTAGCAATTCCAATGTTTTAGTAAGGTGGAAAGTGAGCTAAACAAAATTACCTTTGCCTAGATGCTTAGAAAATAGTTAGATTCACATTTGAAGGTTACACTGGATTTCATACAATTCACTGTTGATGAAGCTGTAGCTTACTTTTAGATATTTACTTATTGAAGACTATAACATGCTATGATAGGCCAAGAGAGTAGGGGAGAGAGGAATTGATTCTCTCAAGGATTTCTGGGCAATTATTATTGATGTAAGCTTTAATTGTTTCCAATATCAACCTTCCACAACAAAAATAAATTAATGATGCTTCTCTGTGGAAATAAAATTTTATATCTGAAATAAATTTATGCATCTATGAAGGTTTCTCGGTGTCACCTTGAAGTATCTAATAGGATAGTAATATCGCTCCAGGTAAAGGTAAAGGCCCTCCCGTTGATCGTCGATTTGCTCGAGCAGGCCCAGTAACGTCTCCATTGGAGACTTTGTTGTTACTGTGTCTGGCATATCGAATAAGAGAACAAAAAGGAAATATTTGACTCTTGAAATCTAGTCTGCTGTGCCTCTACCTCATGAAGTCAGGATTGTGTCCTTGTCCATAAATATAGACTGAAAAAATTTACATCTCTAAAATGATTAAGTTAGAGTATATGTTAAGCCCTAATCTCTCTTTGACACATTAAGCAAAGGTATGTGAATTGTAAATATCATTAGTGAATTTTAAGTGTTCAGAAAAGTAGAAATATTACCAAATAGTCTAAAATTAATACGCCCTTCTAAAATATTTTTTTCTGTATATTACTTTCACCTGGATTTAATAACATATTTCTTCGCTGTCCAGCCTTGTTTCCACAACAAAGTAATCAAGCTTTTTATAAATAAGGTATTTTTGAAACGTCAGAAAAAATTAAAACGATAAGATTCTACATTCAGTACATTTATGTAACACTGTTCTCCATAAAAAGGTATCTGCGTCCTTCAATTTTTAAAACATAAAGGGATAGTATGTTCAGGAGAAGGAATTGATATATAAATGGCTTTCTGAACCTCCTAGAATCCTCTTAAAGAAACACCACAGGTATGTGATAGTTAAGCTCCAGGTTTCTAGAGAGGGAGAGAGAACATAGGTACAGGCACTTTGGAGGTCTTTGGAGGGCAGATCGCCTGCTACCTCCTTGGTTGCTATAAAATCAATCTGGAATACGTACAGTCTTCCTTTATTTCCAGGTCATTGATGATACAAAAAAACTTAGATTCACTACCCTCTTAGCAAGTTTTTGGATTGAAGCTAAAGCAGTATATTGGATACCACACCTACCTACTGGTATCCAAATATTATAGAAACTTGGTAGGTTTACATCCAATTTTAGACCAGTTGGAATTATCTAAACATAGCATATTAGAACCTGTCTTTAGCACAGACTAGATTTCATTTGATTTTTCAAAATAATGCTATGAGAGAGGTGGAGTACAGATTAGTGTTTGTTTAGTGAGAAGAAGACTGACCCTCAGAGGGGTGAAGCTATTTTTTCAAGGACAGACAACAATTGAATGGTAGTACTGGAATCCAAATGTAGACTGTTTAGGATTCCAACACTAAGAAACTGACATTACACCAACTGGCACTAGAAGAAATGTACTAGGAATAACCAAAGAGGAAAAAATGCTGTTCAATTATATCTGACTGCTCATATTGTATTTTCCTTTGATAATCATTAAATTTTGCAAGGTATCATATATGTTTGATACACCCATGTTCTAAATGCAATAAGAAGTACACCTTAAGATACACAGATAGCAATTCTCCACTTAAAGAAAATAAACTGGGAAGTGGGGGGGCTCAATATATACCTGTTCAATTAGATACAGTCTATGTGGAGATATGTTAATGTTACAATTTTTTAAATAAAGGCATAAATGCATAATTTAGTTCTTAAATATATCCTGTGGACAAAGCTGTTTAGTCTAAAAATGAAACAAGCTAAAAGACCTGTATTATAGGCATAGCTTTGCTGCATTCTTTGAGCATTATCATGAGGACAAGAGAGACGTCTCTTGGCCTTTCTGGAAATCAAGTTCTTCACTTGTCAAATAAGAGATAACAAATAAATAAAAAATCTAGCTCTAAAATTTTGAGTCAGGGAGCTTTTCGGAAAGCCAGGTATGAGATGGTGGTGACGGGGCAGCTGCAACCTCATGGGAAGTGGGGCATTCCCGGCTTGTCCTTCACACCCTACCGAGGTCACGAGTTGCCCCCCACAAGCGGCTCTCTGGCACGGCCATGGCTCCAGAGGCACAAGAACTTAATGCAGAGCCTGGTAGCTTGCGGCAGAAAAGTAAATGGACTATGCATTAATCCACAGTAACAAGCCTCCCCAGGAGAGAAGGGGTGTCGCTCCCTTCCACCTTTTTCCCCTGGACAGCAAGATGGCGGCTGCCTCGGAGATTTCTGGAAAGCCAGGTATGAGCTGGCTGTGATGGGGCAGCTGCAACCTCATGGGAAGGGGGGCGTTCCTGGCTCGTCCTTCATGCCCTACTGAGGTCACGAGTTGCCCCCCGTGAGCAGCTCTCTGGCACAGCCATGGCTCCAGAGCCACAGAAACCAATCTCGTAATTATCTGGCTCTTGGCAGAAATCCCTCCAGGCTTAATAAGAAAAATATCAGAAATCCAAAATCGTGCGGCCGCGTGACACCATATGGTTCTCATAACCAGCTATAGAAAATAAATTATTTCACAATGCCTTTTCAGCATTGGGTGTAAACTTTAAATAATGATGGTGCATCTTTTGTCGAAATAATGAATGTAATCAAAGTAGATAGATAGTTAAGTAGAATTCATCTGCCTCATAGGCATTGGAAGAGGTGGGAGGGGGGGGTATATTGGAGTTCTTGGTGGTTAAAAATAAGTACTGGTGAAGGGAAAGGTGTTTGATCATTGCATGACCGAGACTTAAACCGGAAAGCTTTGTAACTTTTCCCACAGAGATTCAATAAATAAATATAAAAAATTTAAAAAATATTCGATGGAGCAATAGCACAGCGGGTAGGGCGTTTGCCTTGCAAGTGGCAAACCTGGGTTCTATTCCCAGCATCCCATATGGTCCCCTGAGCACTGCCAGGGGTAATTCCTGAGCACAGAGCTAGGAGTAACCCCTGTGCATTGCCGGGTGTGACCCAAAAAAGCAAAAAAAAATTAAATAAATAAATAAAAAAAGATTCAATTCATTAAAACTAAAGTCAGAAATTGAAATATATTTAGATTATTTATATACATATATGTGTGTATAACATATGTAAAGCCAATCTTGTTTAAAATCTAAAAGTAAAGAATCTATTTCAAAATGGTTTGTTTTGGCATTAATATACTTTACTGATAATCAAATGGGAAGGCTGTTCTAAGCTATTTGCATTTATAAAACAATTTTAAATAAATAAATAAACAAAATTTTGAGTCATCCGGACCCCCTCCACCGGGCAACCAGAGGACACATTGGGGAACATCTGCCTGAGCACTGTGGGACTCCCCATCCACCACTTTGGGCCCCTCCATTCCAGGTTCATAGGGGGAGCCGGGAACACTCCTCTTTTCCGCACCCCGCATGCCTCTTTTTTCCGCTGCCTCGAACCCCTCCAGACCAAGCACCCACCCCCCGCCAGGCAACCAGAGGACACATTGAGGAACACCTGCTGGAGTGCAGCAGGACTCCCCATCCACCTCTTCGGGCCCCTCCATTCCAGGTTCCTGGGTGGAAGTGTCCCTGGGACCAGCTGGTGGCGTGGCCACTACGTAGGGGGCATGGCCTCCCCAAAAGTGGGCATGGCCTCCTCTGGGCCGCAGTAATATTTCCTATTCCCAGCATTCTGGACTTCCATCCCACACTTTATCACCTAATACCGGCAAAAAATTTCTGACCATCTCAACTACAATAGAACAATATTCCCCTCGCCTACTCCAATTCTAACAAAAGACCAGTACACAAGAAGCTGTACAATCCCAATATTAAAGAGTACTTCCTCCAAAGCTTCAGTAAATGCGTGTCATAAGCCAAAGAATAATGCCTGACTGAGAGGAAGGTCAGACTGTAGAAAGGGAGAAGGGTGACTACCACAGACAGACCTTATCCAGAATCCTTTCCCATGATAAGAGAGAACAGTGATAGCGAATACCAAGGTTCTACCTCTAGACAACCAAAAACAACATTAAGAAACAGCGAAAATCTCCACTACAAGGAGAATATGAAGAAGATAGTTACGAATCCTCAACCGAGGTTATCCACAAATGTGCTCTCTCCAATAAAGAATTCCGAGACAAAATGCAGAGGATGTTCAAGGATCTACTCAAAGAATCAATGGAGGAGATATCCAGAAAACTAAAGGAAGAAATGAAAGAAACAGTAGAACAGATAGTCGAGAAAATACAAAAAGAAATGAGAGCAGAAATAAAAATGCCACTACTGCAGCCACAGGACATCATATGTTATTCATAACCAGCAATTGAAAACAAATTGTCTACTGTTGCCTTTTCAGCAGAGGTAAAATCCCAAATAATATGGTGGGTCTGGTGTCAAAATATTGAATGTTATCAATGTAGAGAGAGTAATGTAGAAATCATCTGCCTCACAGGTATGGGGAGGGTGTGGGATGGGGGTATATTGGGATTTTTGGGGGTGGAGAATGGGCACTGGTGAAGGTATGGGTGTTTCATTGTATGACTGAGACTTAAACCCGAAAGTTTTGTAACTGCTCCCACAGTGATCCAATAAATAAAATTATAAAAAATGGAAAAAAGTAAGGTAGATTTCATGCCCAATTCAATCAGCTAATCAATGGCTGAATAAAGAGCAGTACTCCTACATAAAAAAAGAAGTGTCACAAATAAAGGTTTTGGTAGACGAAATTAAAAACTCAGTAAGTGCATTTAGCAGTAGGACAAATACAGCTGAAGACAGGATCAGTGAGCTTGAAGATGAGCAACAGATATCCCACAGGGAACAACAAGCAATGGGAAAAGACCTCAAAATGGCTCTAAGGAGAATCAGAGACCAAGGGGATGATGCCAAGAGGAACATCATTAGAATCACTGGAGTACCAGAAGGACAGGGTGGCAACCCCAATGAAAAAGCAGCAGCCAAAGAAATCATTGCGGAAAAGTTGCCAGAGTTAAAGTATGCAGACATCCAGATACAAGGAGCCAGGAGGGTACCAGATAAAAGAGACTCTAAGGAAAACACTCCAAGGCATATCATAGTCAGAACAATGGATGCCATGGACAGAGACACAATACTACAAGCAGCAAGTTCAAAGAAGGAAATCACATACAAAGGAGCACCCCTTAGATTTACAGCAGACCTATCACCCCAAAGATTTACAGCAGACCTACCAGAGGAAACCCTCCAAGCCCAAAGGAAATGGTGGGATTTAGTGAAAAAACTCAAAGAAATGAAAGCCTCACCAAGAATACTTTATCCAGCTAACCGATCACTCAAACTCAATTGAACGATACACCATTTTGTAGATAAAAAAAAAACAGCTCAGGAACTTCATAGACTCAAAACCAAATCTAAAAGAAGGATTAAAGTGGCTCCTGTAAGATAAGAAGGAAAACACTTATAAACACAACCAACTCCTAAAGAAATATGGCACAAAACCTCATGAAAATAATCTCGGTCAATGTCAATGGTCTAAATGCACCAATCTAGAGACACAGAGTGCCGAAATGGATCAAGAAACTGAAACCAACATTCTGCTGTCTACAAGAAACTCATCTAAACAATCAGAGCAAACACAGACTCAAACTTAAAGGATGGAAAACAATACTACAAGCAAACAACTTTCTCAAAAAAGCTGGGGTGGTCATACTAGTAGCCAACAACATACATTTCAGGTTGAAAAAGATTAGAAGGCACAGCCAAGGACACTTTCTATTTATCAAAGGATAGATACAAAAGGAAGAGATCACACTCTTAAATGAATATGCACCTAATGAGGGACTAGCTAAGAAGTTAAAACAACTGTTAACAGATTTTAAGAAGGACATTGCTAGCAACACAATAGTAGCCGGAGGCTTCAACATCGCCTTATCACCTCTGGATAGATCAACAAGAACAAAACTCAACAAGAAAACATTGGCTTTGAAGGAAAAAATAGAAGAGAGAGGGTTAATAGACCTATGCAGGGCTTTACACCCCAAAAAGAAAGAATACACATTCTTCTCCAGTGCACATAAAACATTCTCCAAAATAGACCACGTGCTAGGACACAAAACATACCTCAATAAAATCAGGAGGATAGAAGTAGTATCAACAAACTTTTCAGACCACGATGCACTCAAGATAGAAGCGAATCATACAAAGACATTGAAAAACAAATCAAACACCTGGAAATTAAATGGCTCAAAGTTGAATAACAAGGTGGTCAGTTGGAAGCATTCCGAAAGAAAGAAGAAAGGGCCTACATAGATAATGTAATCACACAGCTTAAGATTTTAGAAAAAGACCAACAAAAGGAACCAAACATTGGCCAAAGGAGAGAAATAATAAAACTTAGAGCAGAAATTAACGACATGGAAACCAAAGAAACAATCGAAAGGTCAATGAAACCAAGAGCTGGTTCTTTGAGAAAATAAGTAAGATTGATAAACCACTAGCAAGACTCACAAAGAAAGAAAGAGAGAGAACCCTAATAAACCGAATCAGAAATGAAAAAAGGGACATCACAACAGAAACCAATGAATTGCAAAAGATCATCAGAGACTACTTTGAGAGTCTATGTGCCACAAAACAAGAGAACCTAGAAAAAATGGATAAATTCCTGAATTCCTATAATCTCCCAAAATTAAACCAGGAAGACTTGGGATATCTGAATAGACCCATTCAAACCAAGGAAATTTAAGTGGTAATCAAAAGTCTCCCCCAAAACAAAAGGCCAGGCCCAGACGGGTTCACTAATGAATTCTTCCAAACATTCAAAGAAGACCTTTTGCCAGTTCTCCTCAAGGTTTTCCAGGAAATTGAAAAAATAGGAACCCTCCAAAACAGCTTCTATGAGGCACATATCTCCCTAATAACTAGGGCAAACAAAGACACCACCAGCAAAGAAAATTATAAGCCAATATAACCTCATGAACACAGTTGCGAAGATCATAAAACAAAATATTAGCAAATAGAATCCAACAACTCATCAAAAAGATCATACACCACGCCCAAGTATGATTCATCCCAGGGATGCAAGGGCAGTTTAACATTTGGAAATCAATCAACATAATCCATCACATCAACAATAGTAAAGATAAAAACCATATGATCATATCAATAGACGCAGAGAAAGCTTTTCACAAGATACAACACCCATTTATGATGAAAACTCTCACCAAAATGGGTTTTGAAGGAACTTTCCTCAAGATAGTCAAAACCTTCTACGATAAACCCATGGCAAGCATTATCCTCAATGGGGAAAAATTAAGGGCCCTTCCCCTAAGATCAGGGACAAGACAAGTATGCCCACTATCGCCTCTTCTGTATAACATAATACTGGAGGTACTTGCAATAGCTATTAGGCAGAAAAAAGACATTAAAGGTATCCAGATAGGAAAGGAAGAAATCAATCTCTCACTATTCACAGACTATATGATACTATATCTCGAGAATCATAAAGCCTCTATCAAGAAAACAAAAGCTTTGTACAGTAAAGTCGCAGGCTATAAATCAACATCAAAAATCCATGGCCTTTCTATATGCAAATAATGAGAAAAAAGTGACATGAAAAAATAATACCGTTCACAATTGTGCCCAAGAAAATCAGATACCTCAGAATCAGCCAAACTAAATTGGTAAAGGACCTCTACAATGAAAACTACAAAACGCTACTCCATAAAATAAAAGAGGACACGAGGAAATGGAAACACATCCCCTGCTCATGGATAGGAAGAATCAACATCATCAAAAGCAATACTTCCAAAAGCATTATACAGATTCAATGCAATCCCTATAAGGATACCCATGAAATTCTTCAAAGAAATAGATCAAGCACTCCTGAAATTCATATGGTACAACAAACACCTACGAGTAGCTAAAGCAATTCTTGGGGAAAAGATGATGGGAAGCATCACCCTCCCCAACCTCAAACTCTAATCAAAGTGGTAATAATTAAAACAGCATGGTCCTGGAACAAAGCCAGGGGCACAGACCAATGGAACAGGTTGGAATATCCGTTCACACAACCCCAAATGTATGAGCATCTAATCTTTGATAAGGGAGCAAGAAATGTGAAGTGAAACAAGGAATGACTCTTTAACATATGGTGCTGGCATAACTGGACAACCACATAGAAAAAAAATGGGCATAGACCTCCACCTAACAACATGCAAAAAAGTCAGATCAAAATGGATTAAAGATATCAACATCAGGGCAAAATCCATAAGATACATTGAAGACAAGGTCGGCAAAACCTTCCAGGATATTAAGGCTAATGGTATCTTCAAAGACGACAATCCACTGACCATCCAAGTGGAAACAGAGATAACCAAATGGGACTATCTTAAATTAAGAAGCTTCTGCAACTCAAAAGATACAATAAACAGAATACAAAGACAATATACAGAATGGGAAAGTATATTTACCCAAAACCCATCTGATAAAGGGTTGATATCAAGGACATACAAAGCACTGGTTGAACTCTACAAGAAGAAAACACCTAACCCCATCAAAAATGGGATGATGAAATGAACAGAAATTTTCCCAAAGAAGAAATCTAAATGGCTAAAAGGCACATGAGAAAATGCTCTACATCACTAATCACCAGGGAGATACAGATCAAAACAACGAGATATCATGTCACACCACTGAGACTGGCCCACATCCAAAGGAACAAAAGTAACCAGTGTTGGCGGGGATGTAGTGAGAAAGGGACCCTTCTTGAAAGCTGGTGGTCATGTCGACTGGTTCAGCCCTTTTGGAAAATAGTATGGACGATTCTCAAAAAATTAGAAATTGAGCTCCCATTTGACCCAGCAATATCACTACTGAGAATATATCCCGGCAAGGCAAAAAGGTACAGTCCAAATGACATCTGCACTTCTATGTTCATTGTTGCATTATTCACAGTAGCCAAAATCTGGAAAAAACCGAGTGTCAGAGAACAGATAACTGGTCAAAGAAACTTTGGCACATCTACACAATGGAGTACTATGCAGCTGTTAAAAAAGATAAAGTCATGAAATTTACATACAAGTGGTACTACATGGAAAGTATCATGCTAGGTGAAATGAGTCAGAAAGAGAGGGAGAGACATAGAAAGATTGCATTCATCTGAGTAGTATAAAGTAACAAATTGGGAGACACCCAAGAATAGCCGAGGGAAGTACCAGGAGGTTCACTCCATGGTTTGGAGGCCAGCCGCTCATGCTGAGGGAGAAGGGAGCTCAGATAGAGAGGAGAGCACCAAGAAAAGGGTGTTGGGAGGACCCTCCTAGTTTGAGAGATGCATGCTGAAAATAGATTATAGACTGAACATGATAGCCACTCAATGCCTCTTTTGCAAACCACAGTACCCAAAAGGAGAGAGAGAACAAAAGGGAAAGCCCTGCCGCAGGGGTGGGGTGGGATGGGGGGATAAGGGGATGGGAGAGATTCTGGCAGCATTGGAGGTGGGGAATGGGCACCGGTGGAAGTATGGGTACTCAATCATTGTATAATTGAAACCCAGGCACAAAAATTTGGAAGCTCAACAACTATACCACATGGAGGTTCACTAATAAAAAATAAAAATAAAGTAAAATAAAATAAAATTTTGTGTCATAATTTTCAATTATCATCAAATTATCCCACATCCACTGGTATCACTGGTTGTTACTTAATTCGTGAAGCTAACCTAGTGTGTGAGGTTACTTACAGGTTCTTTCCCATCCATGGCCTCCATCCACAGCCTTCTGTTAGCTTCTGAAAGGGCCTGTAGAGTTATAGTTCCTGGCCTGAGGAATAAAATTAAAAGTTCAATGCAGAAAACTCACCTGAAAGAACTGGGTCTTTATTCTAGTCCCTTTCTTCCTGGGACATATACACTAAGTAGGGAGAGTAATATTCCAATTATTCAAAATCCATTTTATTTAGATTAAATAAAATTTACATATTGGTTCCATTGTGCTTAAACCAAGCCGAGAGTCTTTCAAGCCCTCTTTATTGGAAGTCTGTGATTAGATATGCGCTTGGGAATGAGTACATTCATCACGGGGATATTAGTTTAGCAGGAAAACGGCTTTGCTACTTCTACTTGGATAACCAAGGAATATTTCCAGCAATGGGGAACAGAATTTTTGTCTGATTTTAACAAATGTCATTCTGATAATCACAAATAAAATATCTATTACATGACTAGTAAATGCCAGGCTATTGTTTGTTTTTGATTTGGAGCCACACCTGGCCATGCTCAGGTCTTGATGGACCATAGAGGGTTCCAAAGATTAAACATAGGTCAGCCATGTACAAGACAAGCACCCACTGTAATCTCTCTCCATCCTAAAGGTGCTAATTATTTCATATATATTAATTAATTTACTCTATTTAGAAAGTTTATATCTGGTACAAAAGTAATCTATAGTTTACAAAGGGAAATTTGAGACATTATGTGATGACCGTAGGCAACACAAAGTATATAGCCAAAATTACATTTGTTTCAAAGAAAGATTACATATTCATTCTTTAGCCAATATAAATAACCTCTTCTGCAGGGAAAACATGGTAACATCCAATTTTATTCTAATTTTTTAAGGATACCTGATCTAGAGTGATCCTCTCAGTTTAAGACTACAAAAACCATAAAAACATGTTTTTCTAGAACTCTAAAACATAACTTGATGTTGACAATCAACCATTTCATTCAAGAATAAAGTTTGCTTGTACTACAATTGTTTAAAAAAGAAACATTTTCTTAATGCTGCCATGCTACCCTTAATTTTCCAAATACAAGGCTTCTGTCAGACAACTAAAAAAACCTATGAATTGTCTTGTATTAATCTAATCAATAAAATAGTTTTCTTCATATATTTATATAGTACTTATATGGTATTGTCAGCAGAGCCTGGCAAGCTACCCATAGTTTATTTGATATGCCCAAAACAGTAACAATAATGGGCTTCATTAATCTGACCCTGAAAGAGCCCTCAATACGCAGTTGGGCTATGCTAGCAGGATGAATGAAGACGTTACTGGCACCCGCTCAAGCAAATCGATGAACAACGGGATGACAAGTGATACAAGTGATATGGTACTGTAATTCAACCTTAATTTTCCTTTCCAAACAACTGGATGATTCTTTTCTGCACTAGCATCGTCCTCCATTCCATCTACCTCTCCATACATAGAAATAATAGACAAATAAAATTTGAAAACTTTATCATGGTAGCTGGTGCCTCCGTTGTTCTAAATAAGGGTTTTTCATGACAAAAAATTGAAAATATATTTATTTATTAAGTTTGGATCAGCGTCCGAAAATATAGTATGATTTCTTAACAATAACTTTAAATTATTATTTTGTTTTTATTTTGGGGCCACAGCCAATGGTAGTTAGGGCTTACTCTTGGCTCTGCACTTCACATCACTACTGTGCTCAGCATACCACTAGGGGGTGTCAGGGATTGAACCCATACAGGCTGCATTCCCCTACCAGATGTACTAGGGCTCCAGCTCCTTAAAAATTTAAAGACTAAATTCATCTGTGTAAAGTTGTCCGGGTTCAGTAAACAAGAAAAGAACAATGTAGAGAAAGAAATTCAATCAATAAATGAGTTTGAAGGTCTTTGTTTCAATCATAAAAAATTATAACAAATTAATTCTACTTTAAATAAATCTCTGTATAATCAAAAATGCGTGAATCGTATTAGCACCAAGTTGGGGGAAAATTTAACCTAACACAATCCACCCCATCTACCTTTCCATTAATATATTTTCCAATGCAATTATTCTTGTGTCTTACATTAGGTAAACTTTTTAAAAGAATGAATTTTGTTATTTTCTTCTTTTTGCAGGTTCACCAACTGCTGATCGTTTGCATATCTGTTAGAAAATTAAAACCCAACACTAGGAGTAACTTTTTCTGCTGAGTGCAGGCAAGTAAAGTGGACTGTTAGCAAAAATCAAAGTATGGACTAGTTATGACAAGAATTCCTTTGTAAAACTGTCAATAAACTAAGACAAAGATAGCATGAAAAAATTACTTTGTTTTCAATAGTAAGAGGTGACAGAGGGAAATAAAGTAAATACCCTGCCACAGCTCCTGAGAAAGGAGTGTGGAGTGGGAATGGGGCTTGTGGGGCTTCCAATTTACATCAGTGCAGCTTACCTCTCATTAGTTTCTATATCAAAACAGAACCTCTTGTCAATAGACTCTGTCTTCCTTCTCACACAGTACTTCAGAGTTAAATCCAGGGGTCCCTGATATAAGAAAATGATTAATAATGATTTTTAAACAGATTCACAGAAGCATCTTCGGCCAAAGAATCAGATGTAATCTGTAGTCTAAGAAAAAAATTTATCTCCAGGGGCATGGAAGATTAAAAGAAAAAATTATCTCTAAACAAAAGTTTTGGTAAGATGGCTAAAGTTTTCTTCGAGTTCAAGAATAAATACTTGAGGCCTCCACCTTCCTCTCCCAGGAGTGCCAACTTCCCAACCAGTGACCCAGTCCCCACATGTGCACCCCATCCAGGCAGCCAGACCCAAACTCGCCTCAACACCCTGCGGGCTAGCATACTGCCCCCAACCACCACCTTCCAGCTCCTCCACCTTCCTGTCTCAGGTGCACCAATTTCCCTGACCAGTGATCCAGTTCGTGAGAAGAACTTACATTCTCTGAACCACACATTTGAGGCACTAGTTACCCTGGGTCCCACACATACCTATCAATAAGGTATCTACATTCACAAAGATAACCTGATTGTAAGGGTCAAAACATACAATGATATTAGATAAAACCCCAAAACACAAAAACAGAACCTCACCAAGCATAATGATTGAAATTTCTAGCCCAGATGAATCAAACAGTAGCAATGAACTCTATAACCTCTCAGATAAGGAATTTAAAGTAGACCTTTTAGGGAAGTATAAGGAGTTCAAAGAAGAAATGGAACACACTGCTGATAAAATACAAGAGGAAATGAAAGTGGAGGTGGAGGAAATGTAAACAAAAACACAAGTAGAAATGACAGGCCTAAAAACCTTGGGAGGCAAAATGAAAAACTCAGTGGAAGGCCTCAGCAACAGAGTAACAACTGCTGAGGATAGAATCAGTGAGCTTCAAGATGAGGTGCAGAGACTCTCCAAACAACAGCAAAACATGGTAAAGAACCTCAAAATAAATCAACAGATGTCAAGAGAAAATCAGGATGAAGCCAAGAGGAATAACATAAGAATCACTGGAGACTATCTGGCGCCTACAGGGATTGGCTTATAGGTGTGGCCCCTGGGTGCCAGAGACTGGGAGAAGCAGACAGAGGATCTCTGCTCCTGGGTCCCGTTGAGCCCAGAGTCCAAGGTCTCAAAGTTTCACATTGCCTGGGTTCCGGGGACTTCAGTCATGCATGAGGCTCAGCCAGAGTGTCTGGAAAGTGGCCCGGAGTGTGGTGGCAGTTGGGTAGTGGAGGTCAGCTGCTGGGACTCAGTCCTTGGGGTGGGAAGTGCTCTCACAAGACAAGAAAACCCCCTCAAATACACCAAACTTTGGCAGAGAAATGGAACAAAATCCCAAAACAATAATCTTTCTCTATGTCAGTGGGTAAAATGCACGAATTAAAAGACACAGAGTGGCAGGATTGATCCAAAAACTGAACCCAACATTCTGCTGCCTGCAAGAAACACATCTGAACAGGAAAACATAGACTCAAAATGAAAGGATTGAAATCAATCCTACAAGCAAACAGCTCCCTCAGAAAAGTGGAAGTGGTCATATTAATATCAGACCAAATAGACTTCAGACTGAAGGTTACAAGAGAAAATGAAGGTCATTTCTTAATTATCAAAGGATTGGTATATCAGGAATAATTCACTTTACTAAATGTGTATACACCTAATGAGGAAAATACTTAAAATGACTCCTCATAGACTTGAAGGAAGATATTGACAGCAACACAATAATAGTTGGGGACTTCAAAACCACTTTATCACCTCTTGATAGATCAACAAGACTCAAAGTCAGCTAGGATATACTTTATCTGAAGGAAGAAATAAAAGACAGGGGTCTAGTAGACATATATAACACATTTCACCCCCCAAAAGCTGAATACACATTCTTCTCAAGTGCACTTGGGACATTCTCCAAGATAGAACACATACTGGGCCACAAAACATACCTATATATAATTAAGAGGATAAAAACTATCAATTTTTTTTCAAATCTGGATGCACTGAAAATCTAAGTAAATAATACCCAGAGACAGATATTCAAATCAAACACCTGGAAATTAAACAGCTCACTACTAAATAACGAGTGGCTTAAGAAGGAATCAAAGAGTGAATCAAAAAATTATTGGAAATGAATGAGAATGAAGACATGAGCTACCAGAACCTATGGGACACAGCAAAAGCAATGTTAAGAGGAAAGTTTATAATTCTACAATAACTCATCAGGAAAGAAGAGTTAGTCAAAATAACTTACTCACCTCACAGCTTAAGATTTTGGAGAATGACCAACAAAAGGAGTCCAAACCAGACAGGAGGGAAGAAATAATAAAACTTAGAGCAGAAATTAATGACACGGAAACCCAAAAAACAATCCGAAAGACCAGTGAAACCAAGAGCTGGTTCTTTAAGAAAATAAACAAGATTGATAAAACATTAGCAAGACTCACAAGGAATAAGAAAGAGAGACCCTTAATAAACAGAATCAGAAACAAAAAGGGACACATCACAACGGAACCTACAAAATTCAAAGGATAATAAGAGATTACTTTGAAGAGCTTTATGCTACACAACTAGAAAAACTTGAAGACGTGAATAAATTCTTGGACTCCTATAATCTCCCAAAGCTGACCCAAGAATACTTGGAATACCTGAACAAACCTATCACTAACAAGGACATTTAAATAGTAATAAAATTTCTCCTAAAAAACAAAATTCCTGGCCCAGATGGATTCACTTGTGAATTCTTCCAAACCTACAAAGAGGACCTACTTCCATTCCTGTTCAAGCTTTTCCAAGAAACTGAAAAAAGAAAAAAATTCCAAAGAGTTTTGATGAGGCAAATATTACCCTCATACCAAAATCAGACAGAAGAACCACAAAAAAGAGAATTACAGACCAATATCCTTGATGAACACAGATGCAAAGATCCTCAGCAAAATACTAGCAAACAGAATCCAATGGCTCATAAAAAAAACATACATCATGACCAAGTAGGATTCATCCGGGTATGCAAGGATGGTTTAACATTCACAAATCAATCAACATAATACATCATATTAATAAAAGAAAAGATACAAACCATATGATTCTATCAATAGATGCAGAGAAGGCTTTTGACAAGATCCAGCAACCATTTATGATTAAAAACTCTCAGCAAAATGGGAATCGAAGGAACTTTCCTCAATATAGTCAACGCCATCTACCACAATCACACAGCAAGCATTATTCTCAATGGGGGAAATGCTGAGAGCCTTCTCTCTAAGATCGGGTACAAGACAAGGCTGCCCACTCTCACTACTTCTTTTCAACATAGTAGTGGAAGTACTTGTCATATCACGTAGGCTAGAAAATGATACCAAAGGCATCCAATTAGAAAGGAAGAATTTAAGCTATCACTATTGGCAGATTACATGATACTATGCTTTAGAGAACCCTAAAGACTCAACAGAAAAGCTCCTAGAAATAATAAGGATTTTATAGCAGAGGGGCAGTTTACAAAATCAATACCCAAAATTCGTTGGCCTTCCTATGAAAAAATAATCTAAAAGTAGAAAGCGACATTAAAGAAAAAAATCCCATTCACAATAGTACTCCAAAGAAATTTTGTCCCTTGCAGTTAGTCTAACCAAAGAGATAAAGGATATATACAAAGAAAACTACACAACAATACTTCAAGAAATGAAAAAGGGCACTAGGAAATGGAGGCACATCCCCTGCTCATGGACTAGGAGGATTAACATTTCAAAATGGTAATACTCCCCAAAGTATTGTACAGATTCAATGAAGTCCCTATAACAATACTGATGGCACTTTTCAAAGAAATAGACAAAGCACGTCTGAAATTCATATGGAGTAATAAGCCCCCATGAATAGCAAACACAATCCTTGGAATAAAGAAGATGGGTGAAATCACCTTCCTCAATCTCAAACTATACTACAAAGTAGTAGCAATTAAAACAGCATGGTACTGGAACAGAAACAGACCCACAGACCAATGGAACAGAGTTGAATATTCTGACACAGCCTATAAAGCATACAATTACTTAATCTTTGACAAAGGATCAAGAAATGTTAAGTGGAGCAAGGAAAGCCTCTTCAACAAGTGGAGCTGGGAAAACTGGACAGCTACACACAAAATAATGAACTCAAACTTCTGTCTAACATCAAGCACAAAAGTCAGATCAAAGTGGATTAAAGACCCAATATCAGACCTGAATCCATAAGGTACATGAACGAAAATTTAGGCAGAAACCTCCATGACATTGAAGCTAAAGGCATCTTTAAAGATGAAACACCACTAACCAAGCAAGAGGAAACAAATATAAACAAATATTATTACATTAAACTAAGAAGCTTCTGTACCTCAAAAGAAAGAGTAAAATACAGAAACAACCCACTTAATGGGAAAAATATTTACCTAATAACCAACAGATAGGGGCTTAATATTCAATATATACAGGGCACTGGTAGAACATTACAAGAAAAAAACCTCTAACCCTATCAAAAATGGGGTGAAGAAATAAACAGGAACTTGCACCAAAAAATTCGCTAAAAATGGCTAAAAAATGGCTAAAAATGCTCCACTTCCCTAATCATCAGGGAGATGCAAATAAAAACAATAATGAGGTACTATCTTGATGTTGGCAGGTAGATAGGGAAAGGGAATGAAACTTGGATTAACAAAGTTTCATGGAAGAAGAATTATAGGACTGATCCACCTTGTGGATACAGAAAACAAAGACCTGATTAGACCATCCACAGACCCTGAGGATATAGGACCCCTCCCCACCCCATGAAGTTCCTTTTTTTCAAAATCCTAGGACCTCCCTTTTAATCCAATTAACTTTAGTGATTCAGCCCAAAGAAGACCATCACCACTCGCAATATCCCTGGTAACCTCCTTAGCAAAGGGGCTTTTACCTAGGAAGAAGCCCCATGTGAGGGAAGTTTGGAGAAATCCTATAAAGGCCACCTTGAACAAAGGAAGGGAGCGCATATGCTGCCTGAGCCCATGTGGGCTTACGCCCACGTGGCCA